TTAACCTGGAATTAACTTCACTGTCCCTCTCACATTTATTGTGATATACTATCTATATATTATATATATCTGTGGACCTGTAGAGGGTAAGGTGTAAGGTATACAACTAAACCTCTAGTTGCCACCTGTACCTTACAATGTTCCTAGAATACAGCTGTCTTTAGATACAAGATATTCTTGCATGCACTTTTATAATTTTAACCCTTCCTTGTTTTTAAACTACCCCCCCCCTCCCATTCACTCACATTTCTTTATTCTCTTTTCTAATTTTTTTCTTTTATGGAATATTCTAGAATACAGCTGTCTTCAGGTACAAGATATTCATGCACTTTATTAGTTTAAGCCCTTCATTATTTTTAAACTAAGCTAACCCCCCTCCCCCCTCCCATTCACTCACATTTATTTTCTAATTTTTCTTTCTTTCCTGATATATTCTAGCATACAGCTGTCTGTATGTAATTTTATTTTATTTTATTTTTGTTTCTTTAACTATCCTCTTTATTTTTAGTTCTTTAGCTTTACCTTTAACATTCTCCTTTTGGTTTTGATTTTTTTATTCCTTTTACCCTTATACCCTCCCTAGTTCATTTGTCCTTTTTACTTTTACTTTTACCTTCCATAATATTCTTTTTATTTTAAACCTTTTCTTTACCCATTTTCACTTCTTTTAATCCTCCCTAACCCTATTTTTACTTCTTATGCCTTCTTCAATCTCTACTTAAGGGTTAGTCCCTACCTTTCATTAATCTCTACTTTTCTTTAATCCTACCTGTCTTTTGTTCTTTAATCCCTAACTTTTTCATAATCCTGTTTTTTTATTATTTAATCACTACCTTTCCTTAATCAATTTCTTTCATCCTTTAATCCTTACCCATCTTTAATCTGGTTCTATGTACCTTTAATCCGTACGTATCCTTCCCCTATACTCATCTTCGTTAATCCCAAGTTTTCTTTTAAGCACGTTTCGAATTCAGTTTAGACTGTATCATGTCTTAACTCATCAAAATCTGTTATATGAATTGATTCTAACTGCCTTTGATCAAATATGACATCTTTGAATTATTATGTTAAAAGTAAAAACATGATTTATTCGTTAGAAACTTTAGCAATGTCATTGTTGTAAAATGTTAAGGGAGAGTTAAACAATCCAACTATTAAAAATTAAAGTTGAATCTCATTTTTAACCCATCTTCCATTTAATTTGTGAACATGTTTTTTTTTGTTAACAGGTTAAAACAAAGAAGAAGAAAATTTCGCGGATTTTCAGGAATTAAATTTTTTTTACAAAATTAAAAACCTTTAAAACACATTTTTTTAAATTTTTATCATTCGTAAACCTTCCCTGTGGTCACGTGATGTCCCAAAAAAATTTTGGCCCGACCGTTTCAGCCGTTTTGACGTTTATTGGATACATACAAACAAACTTCGCAGATAAAAAGCTAATATTTTGACTAGGAAAGGAAAGAAAAGTGTGATAAAGGCCTAGTATACATATATTAGAAGTGGTTGTTTATATTATAGAGGTTCTGGATTAACTGACGGTTTATATTCAACAATTTCATTCATCTGATTTAGAGGACAGTCATAAATACACACACTCACTCAAACCTTTATTCATTTAGATTACAGTCATAAATACACACACTCACTTTTATTCATTTGCAAGGTTGGTAGGGTGGGCAGGAGGGAAGCATATTTATTGTTTATAGGTATTTTTTCAGGAATTTTAATGGAGAAATTAGAATGTTTAGGAGGGTCAGAATTGAGAAATCATTATCATTATCATACGTTATTTATCAAAAACAACATTTGAAAGCATCAAAAGCAAGAAACAATAAAATTTAATGCCTTACTGTTTCTGATAAAATATTAAGTTTCCAGTCAAATTATGACCGGATGAAGTATTGATCAAATTATGACCGAATGAAGTATTGATCAAATTATGACCGAATGAAGTATTGATCAAATTATGACCGAATGAAGTATTTTCCCTACATGCTTTTCAGATGGATTTGACAAAACACAAGAGGAATGATATCCTTCATTTTTCAGATCAAAAATCATTTTTAATGCTTTTAAGAAAAACCTGAGATAGGTCAGGTTTTGGCANAGGATCGATAGCAAATTTGACAATTTCTTATCTCTATTCCTGCTCTGCTCGGGAGGGCGGTCAAATTGACCCCTTCCTCTGTGTTTTTTTTTTTCATAACTCAAAAAGTATTGGTCAGAGGCTGTTGAAGTTTTCTGGCTTTTCCTAAATACCCATGGTTGGAGGAAAGTTCTTGAATAAAGGTTGGAGGGAAGTTTATGGATAAAGGAGGGATGGAAGTTTAAGCATAAAGATTGGAAGGAAGTATATGGATAAAGGTTGGAGGGAAGTATATGGATGAAGGAGGGATGGAAGTTTAAGAATAAAGGTTGGAAGGAAGTTTATGGATAAAGGTTGGAGGGAAGTTTATGGATAAAGGAGGGAGGGAAGTTTATGGATAAAGGAGGGAGGGAAGTTTATGGATAAAGGAGGTAGGGAAGTTTATGGATAATGGAGGGAGGGAAGTTCATGGATAAAAGAGGGAGGGACCTTTATGTATAAAGGTTACAGGGAAGTTTATGGATAAAGGAGGGAGGGAAGTTAATGGATAACGGAGGGAGGGAAGTTTATGGATAAAGGAGGGAGGGAAGTTAATGGATAAAGGAGGGAGGGACCTTTATGTATAAAGGTTACAGGGAAGTTTATGGATAATGGTTACAGGGAAGTTTATGAAAAAAAAGTTATATTTAAGTTTGAGAATACGAAAAGAATTTCACTGGAGGCTTTCAGAAACTAATTTTAAATATGTATAGCTTATATAATTTAAAAAGAATAAAATAAGTCCTTGAAAGGTTAATTAAAATAAAATATACCCTGAAGGGGACTGTACGTGTAAATCCAAATGAACCTCTCTTGATACAGTTCGACTTGCCCGATTTACAATGGTACTTTTAAACAGACAAAGTTTTTGTTTCATGAAAGTTGTTTATTTTCAATTGTGAATTCTCTGTAAGAGTCACTTACGCAGTTTCACCTCAGATATACTGGAGAATATTCAAAGAGTATGAAATAGAAGGGAGATACAACTGACGCGGCCCGCCCCACCATATGATTATACATTCTTTGCAGACGGTACTATATTTGTATAAGAAATTGTATACGCGGTAAATTGTACATCAGACAAATATTTCTTATACACATGTAGTACCGTCTGCAAAGCATGAATAATCACGTGGTAGGGCGGGCCGCGTTAGTTGTATCGGAATTTTCAAGTCTAGATTTCAATGGTGTAGTTGTAAATCGGAAATGTCCCTTTTTTCACTGTCTCTTAAAATCCCTTTTTCTGAAAAAAAATGTGCATGGCATGCTCTTATAAGTTTACAAAAAACATCGTCTTCTGCATTTTTTTTTAGAAAAATCAGTCAGTTCTAAAATATCGTCCTCTTCAAAACTTGTTCAAAATAAAAAAATTATTTTGTAAAAAATTAATTTTTTAAATTCTTTTTCTCATACATTTTATCAGACGGCTAAAACAAAAATATAGCCTTTTTCTTATCTATATCATATTTAACAAAGCAAACTTAAGTCTTGTTCCTTACTATTTTTATATAGATTTTTCAAGGATGAAATTTTGATTTTAAAGCAAGTTTATAGTTTATAGAATGACAAAAAAAAGAATCTTTTTGGCAAATGAAGTTTAAATATAATAAATAATTTTTAAATAAAAAGTTTTTGACTTCATTGTGCTTAATTCGAAAACTTCAATGATCAAAAAGAAGTTTATATTCTTATAAATAAATCATTTATTTCAACTCAAATTTGTGTTTGTTGGCATCAACAGTTCCATGAAATATAGGAATATAAACATATTTAACATTTACACAGAGGTGTAACATTAACATTTCCACAGGGGTGTAACATTAACATTTCCACAGGGGTGTAACATTAACATTTCCNTATAAGACGAGTTATGATTCAAAACATAAAAGATTTATCTCTTTCACGGTGTACAAGGGTCAATTTGAATTCGAACCGCGCCCGACCCCTTGTAACGATCTTAGTGACCTGCGGCAAAAACCGCCCGGCCCCTTTGTAACAATCATAGTGAAGTGTAAACTACGGCAAGTACCGGCCCGACCCTTCCCTATGCCGGCTCGGTTTCAACTTTGATAGCGCGGCCGAACTTTTTGTAGTACCTGGCCTATCATAGGCCTATTTGACCTTCCTCACCAGCTTAGTTTAGTTTGCTTTGATTGATTTCTTTGAATTGTAATGTCAGAACTTAAGAGAAATTTCCATCTTTGTGATCAACCTATCAAATACTTCAAGGTTCCCCTATCTCCAGTGGCCTAAATTCAAGTCTGCAAATACTATTTAGAATTAGCGTTGTGTTACATAATTTCAATGGTCAAAATAAAGTTACGTCTGCTAGAGTATATTTTATGAAAACCGTAAAAGACTTTATTATTCTGCATTTTAACATTTTAATATTTTGGGACACCCTTTATGTGCTATACTTGTACTAGTAAAACAAAAAGAAAAAAGACACTAGGTACTGTAGTACATTACAGTACAGTACAGTACAGTACAGTACAGTACAGTACAGTACAGTATAGTACAGTATAGTACAGTACAATGCTATACAGTGCAATGCTATACAGTACAGTACAGTACGGAACGATATAGAACGGTACGGTATAGTACAAAACAGTATGCTCTGTACATAAATAAACAAGTCTGGAAGATAAAACTGTAGGTACAAGTGTTATATATTTTAAAAACATTTATAATCGCATAAATTGTTTGATTTCCATTGGACCATTAAATTAATTAGAAAATGGAAAATCCATTATTATTTTTCATCAAGAGTGGATATCGAATAAAAACCGGTTTTAAAAATCCAACTTCGGACAATTTTTTGTTTTAAAAATTTCTTGTTTAAATTTAAAATTTATCATTCCATAACAAATCATTTTTTTTAGTTGGTTAATTTCATGATCAACTTGTAATGGCACAGTTTAATTAAAAGTGTGCATAATTCATTAGATGAAAACAACAATAATGTATTTAATATTGCTCATTTTCCATTGTTGAAAATTTACGACGAATTTTCCAACAATTCCTTGAGGGTGAATTCGAGGGTCGAGGAACGAATATCGAACTCGCCTTGATTGTCCGAAATCATCTTGAAGAAGAATAAATGCTCGTCACATCGAAGACCGATAGATCGAAGAGCTGAAAAAATAAAAATATTTGTAAACTAAACAAGATTTAGTGAAACTTGTCAAATTTACTTAAAAACACATATTTTTAGATTTCCAAATATAGAATTTTTAGACTCGATCAAAAAATATTATTTTGGTGTTGTTTTATGATTATATAGTAACAGATCAGTGCTTAGGATCCATTTAATTTTGATGCGGATCCGGATCCGATCCTGGATCCGCACTGGAAAAAATGGATCCAGATCCGGATCCAGGTCATTTCTTTAAGATTTACTGAATTTTTTTAACAACATTTGTTTTTCAAATTTTTCGCTTTTTTTGCAGTTTTTGGTTGATATTTTACCCCTTGGATCCGGATCCGTGGATCCGCATATTTTTGCTGATCCGGATCCAGGAAGCCAAAATCTTGCGGATCCAATGAATCCGGATCCTAAGCACTGTAACAGATTGAAGTTGAGTCGAAAATATTTCATGTAGGGCCAAAAAAAAGAAAATATTTCATCTAGGGCCTAAAAAAGAAAATCAAGGTTTTCAAATCTCGTCTGAATCCACTAAATCTCGTCTGAATCCACTAAATCTCGTCTGAATCCACTAAATTTCGTCTGAATCCACTAAATCTCGTCTGAATCCACTAGATCTCGTCTGCATCCACTAAATAATTTTGAGCATTCTTCTTTGCACACAACACAATTTACAAAGTATTTGTATATTTTGTCTTTTGCTACAAATAATATCAAAATAAAACCAATTTTAGGCTTCCATTACCTTAACTGGAGAAGTAAACACTTGAGTAAGATACAACAGATTTTTTATTTTAAATTCAAGATTTTGAGCTGCAGAAATTCCCCGGACACATGGAATTTCACTTTATGGGTCTTTGTATTTTACTCAATTATACAAATTTATCAGTTTCTGAAGTGTTCTGTCCTGCAGTGTGGGTAGAGGAAGCTTAAAATAAATCCTATATTGAGATTTTTAGCAGTTAAAGATATTTAAAACATGTATTTATCAAATTTTGTTGTGTTTAGAGAAAACTGCTCAAGATTACATAGTGGATTCAAGCGAGATTTGAAAACCTTGATTTTCTTTTTTGGCCTTACATGAAATAAATCAACGTGAATCTGTTTCTGTACTATCATAGATTAACAACATATACTTATTTTTTTAGATCAAGTTCAAAAACCCTGAAGACCCTGTGTTTAGACTATAGAAAAACATTATAAAAACAAATTAAAAAAATATCTTAAAATACTATAAATATTTGAAGTAAAATCACATCATCTGATATGATTAGTTTTATCTTAAATACAAAATATGAAAGCAATCAAAAAAAAAATAAAAATTTCAGATTTAGAACTACTGTAAATAATAACATAATTCTGCTAATTCGAAAATTACTTAAGTCTTGCTTAGACAAGAAAAGGAGTATAATGTATTGAAACCTTGTTAACCCCATTCCTCT